AGGCATTGCGGCCCCAGAGCCGGCCTCCTGACCACACACCCTGTTGCCCACTCCTCCTTTGAGGAAATGAGGGAGGAGGGAGGCTCCTGGAAGCTGTGATTGCTGGGGACATTTGCTCATCCCCTTCATTTTCTCTTTTATTATTTGATTTAAATCCACAGATAATTACGGAGCTCTGTGTGAGACACCTTGCTAGACTCCTGAGGTGTAGAAATGCTAATGTAACTTATTTGTCTATAAAGGAATATAAAATGCTTTGGTGTTCCCTTTTTACAATTTACAGAAATGGGGTGAAGTAAAACTAATATAGAGTAATATACCATTAAAATAATAGAATCATAGCTTCCTAATTATAGTCTAAAAAAACAAGTATTCATAAAAATTAAATTATTTCTTTAGGGCCATCACTGCTTTTTAAATTTTTTTTAGACTTGATTTATTGAGGAATAACATACACAAAGTGAAATGTACAAATATTAATTGTAACATCAATGCATTTTAACAAATTGCATATATCTGCCATGACTATTTTTTAATATGAAACAAAATGTAAACTGCATATAATTTAGGATGCCCTCATTAATGCATTCGTTCATCCAATAACTGTTTATTAAGGGCCTACTATATGCCAGGCATGCAAGGGGATAGAGCAGCGAATAAAATGGACAGTCAGTGCCGTTACAGCATTGGCATTGTAATGGCATTCTAGACAATAAAAAAATAAGCAATTCAAAATATGTCAGGAGCTAGTAAGCGCAAGGAAGAAAAATGAAGGGAATAGAGTGAGATCGGGTCGGGGGGAGGGTTGTGCTATTTTAGATGGGATACTTGGGAAAGGCCTCACTGACAGGAAACGTTTGAGCAAAGGCCTGGAGGCTGTGAGGCATGCAGATATGGGGGGGGGGGGATGATGAGTGTCAGGCCGAGGAAATAGCCAGTACAAAGGCTCTGCGTTTGCTGCTTGATATGTCCAAGGTCCCGAGAGAAGGCTTGTGTGGCTTACAAGGAGTGAAAGAAGCAAGAAGCAACTAAAGGCTAGATCCTGTACGGCCTTGTAGGCCATCATACGCATTTGGGATTTGAATCTAAGTGAGATAGGAAGCCTCTGGAAGGTATTAAGGATTATGTGACATAGTCTGACTTATTTTTTACAAAGATCACTGTGTCTATTGTGTGCTGAATTGACTGAAGGGGAGAATGCAGGGAGAAAATTGTTGAAATAATCCTTGCCAGAGATAACGGTTGCTAGGACCAGGGTGGCAGCAGGTAAAGAAAAGTGGTTGGAATCTGATCATATTTTTAATGGCTAAATCATCATGATTTGCTAATGGATGAAATGTGGAATAAGAAAGAGAGCCTCCAAGGTCATCCCTGCAGCTTTTGGTTGCAAATTATAACAAAACCAATAGAAAATGGCTTAAACAATTAGAGTATTTATTACCTTAATTAAGGTAGTGGGGCCCATTCTTTCCATCTTTCCAGCTATTGTCATGTCTACTAGCTTCCCTCATGATCAGAGATGGTCCAGGTACCCTATTATCACCCACCGGAGGCAGAAAAAGCCTTCTGCGTCTTTGTGAATCTTTATCAGTGAAGAAGCCTTTCCCAGGAGGAATCCCCATCCAATTCCTCTTACTTTTCACTTGCCAGAATTGGGTCACATTCCACCCCTAAACCAATCATTGGCAAAGGAATAGAACCCGCATGAGGATTGGCTTAATCATTGAGGATTATTTACCCAAATCATGTGGGAAAGCTGTCACCAGAAAAAAAGTTCTATCAATGTGAAAGAAGGGGGAAATGGCTGTTGTTTGGAAAACCAACAGAATCTAATACGGAAAAATAACAGTTCCAATCAATATGGTACTTAACTACCAGTCTGTCATGTGTGTAAAGGAAAGAGCATGGATGACAAAATCAGAACGTCTGCTAACCACCAACAAGCTGGAGACCCTGGGAAATCATTGATGTTTTCTGTCTTCATTTCCTCATCTGTAAAATGAGAGGGTTAGACTGAATGCTCTCCCAGACCCCATTCTACACACGTAGCCTGCCAGCTTAGACCACTAGAAACATCGTGAACAGAGTGGTTTACAAATGCAGTAGGAATTTAGAGAACAGAAAAATAGAGTGAGCTGTAATGGTGCAGGAAGAAGAGGCAAGTTCACGGGCGGGTATGGAAAGGGTGGAAGATGGGGTGAAACCAGCCAGAAATAACAAACACAGAAATCAGGTGCTTGGGGAAGAGGGAGGGTACTGATCCAGAGACAAGGGTGAGTGTTGGATAATGGTGTCAAATAATATTGGGATGCGGTTATATTTTTTGGAGGCTTTTGAGAAGCAGGCCAACTTGGTTCAAAATTTTAAGGGAAGTGACATGATAATATTTTTAAGAAGCTTAATCTAACAGTGAGCATTACATATACCAGGTGGGTTATAAAGAAGAAAAACTAGAGACTGGAAAAGCAATAGAAAATGATGCATAATCCAAGTGTGAGATGATGAATTGATGGTATTTCAGCAGGAGAAAGGCTAGAACACATCAAGTCTGATTTTCAGCTGAAATTTAACGTGACACATAGTAAATGATTAAGAATCCCGGCTCAGAAGTCAAATGGACCTGGATTAGAACCCCGGCATGACTCTTCCTAGCGGAGGACCTTTGGCACATAACTTGAACTCTGTGCTCTGGTTTTCTTGCCAGTAAAATTGTAATATTAACATAATCTAGCCTGTGGGGTTATTGGAAGGATTAAGTGAAAAAACTGACTACATAGCAGTACTTAGTATAATATTTGGGAGAGAATATATACTCATTAAATAACTATTATTTTCATCAATAATATTATTATTAGTGTTGTCATTATTATTATTATTATTACTATTATTATTATTCAGGAGCAAAATTCTGGGCAAATCATTAAATTAACAGTTTGTGAGCTCTTAGAGAAAGGTCACTGTAAGCCAATGTGAGTTTTGCTTTCCTGCCTTTTGTTAGACTAAGTTTCCTTTGTTTTTTTTTCTCCAGTGGCTTAAAAAGTCATAGATCCTGTTCTATTCATTAATTTTCAACCTTAAATTTTCAACACACATAGAATTAAAGTCAACATTTATATTGTCTCCCACCTCCCTCCAAAAACCATTAACATACTTCACTTTGTTCCCTCTCTCCTCTCTTCCATCTATTTTATTGATCTCATCTGAAATTTTGTTCCAAATAATTAATTTTCTGAATCTCCTCTTATTTACACTTGATAATGGCCTTTTACTAGTGTCTTTGCTCACATTGTTTATTGCATCCCAATTATTCTTCCTCCTCTTTTCATTTTTCTTCTTTCTGGAGAACATATTGCAGTAATTCTCCCAGGGAAGTTCTGTGAATGATACATTTTCTGAGTCTTTGCTGTCTGAAAAACGTCATTATTTCACCTTTACTTATATGATTGTTTTGGGTATAGAATTATGTGGTAAATGTCATTATCCTTCAGAACCATTTAAAATTTTTATTTTTTAATTTCTATTTATGTGCTCTTTCATAAATGTTTTACTTTTGTACATATATATGTGTGTATATATACAAAAGAAAATAAATAATGCATGTAATGTTTAATTTGTAGTAAAATAATGAAAAGTATAAAGTAAATAATAAATTATTAATAAAACAGACACTCATAACCCAGCACCCAACTTAAGGATATTGAAGCTGTGCACACGTCCTCTTTGGCCTCATCCCCATCTCATTCTCCTTCTGTTGTCACTACCCCCATAAATAGTCCTGAAATTAGTGTGTACCCTTCCCTTGCATTTTCCCCACAGTTTTACCATAAGTGTATACACCTCTAACAACATATTATTTAATTTTGCTTGTTTTTGGACTTTATAAAAATGGGGCTTACCATAAGTAGTTTTCTGTGACTTACTGTTTTTTACCATTATCTTTTTGCAGAGTGGCAGCTTATTCATTTTGTCACTCTCTGCAATATATCCTGCTCTGTGGCTATGCCTCCCTTTATTATACATTCTCCTATTGCCGAACATTTGGGTGGTCCCTCCACCAGTCTTTTCTTTTTTTGCTGTTAGTGACAGTGGTGCTATGAATATTTTGTATATGTCTAGCAGTGTGTATGTGCAAGAGATTCCCCCTAAGGAATAAGCGTGCTGCTGGCATTGTTGGCTCAGGAAGTATGCATATCTGCAACCTTCGATAACACCAGTTTTTTTCCTAAGGAGTTGTACCAATTCAAACTCCTGCAGCAATGTATGAAAGTTCTCACTATTCCACATTTTCTCCAGCCTTCCTATTTTCAGACTTTTTAATTTTCCCCTAGTCTATGGATACAAAATATATCTTTTACTGTATGAATTTGCATTTTGCTTTATTACTCAAGAGATTGAACATCTTTCATATATTTTAACAGCTTTACATGTTTCTTCCTTCTTTTGAAATGCCTATTCGTGTCTTTTGCCTGTTCTATTTTATTGCTTGTTTTTTTCATACTGATTTGTAGCAGGTCTTTGGATATCAATCCTTTGTTGGTTATATGTGTTGCAAATACAGTTTATGGCTTTAAAAAAACTTCATTTTTTTTTGAAGAAGAGAGATTCTTAATGTTAATATAGTCAAATTTTATCTCTCTCATCTTTTATGGTTAATGTTTTTTTTTGTCTTATTTAAAAAAACTTCTCTGCTTTAAGAGCAAGATGATATGCTCCTATATTTTCTTCTAAAAATTCTGTCTTGGGGGCTGGCCCGGTGGCGTAGCAGTTAATTTCGTGCGCTCTGCTGCAGCTGCCCAGGGTTCGCAGATTTGGATCCTGGGCGCAGACCTACGCACCTCTTATCAAGCCATGCTCTGGTGGCATCCCATATAAAGTAGAGAAAGATGGGCACGGATGTTAGCCCAGGGCCAGTCTTCCTCAGCAAAAAGAGAAGGATTGGCATCGGATGTTAGCTCAGGGCTAATTTTCCTCACACACAGACACAAAAAGCTGAAACAGAGCAAACTAAATCAATGTAATAAGAGGCAAGAAAATGAGAAGAAAGAACCAGCCAGAAATTGTGGTAAGTAAAAAGCATGGGAAAAATTTGGAGAAATGAATCACAATATGAATGTAACTAGCTTATTAAAAGAAAGATACTCTAAGACTGTATGAAATAAATCCAGCTACAAGCTGTTTATGAGAGATATTTATAAAAATAATTCAGGAAGTTTGAAAATAAAGGTATAAAATAGATATCACACGCTGTGGAAGTAGAAAATTACAATTACCATTTATTTTTATTTCATTCTTGATTACAATTAAGCTGACACCAGAGGCCACAAGTCTCCAATGGCAATTTAGTGAAGAACCTTGAAAGTAAGGAAGACTATTAGCAGATGCTATGAAAATGAATGCAAATTGCTGAACTAGCCATTACCTCCTGCAATATGAATAAATGTAAAAATTGAAAATAATTTCAAAACATTTACCTTAAAGGCACTAAGAAAATAAACATTAATCAAGCTAAGGTGAAGATTCTTTCTTGTTATATCTTTCTTGTATATCTTGCCAACATAAAATTGAGTTTCTGTCTAAGTCTATTTACAACAAGAGGCAAAGAGCTTTCTCATACTATTGAACAGTTTGTTTTAATCATCCCAAAGATGGTTGAGTTATGACCTTGAGACCATGAGAACTAGTGTAGTTTGCTATAGGAACAGACTTCTTGGAATGTTGGTCATAGAAAACCATGCTTGCTCACCTACTACTGTAAATTCTGATTTAGGAATAAATTTTAGTCTCTAATCTTGTGATAAATAACACACTACTGCTATCTCCTTGTCGCTGTTAGGACTAACTCAACCATTGTAGTAAATACTATGCAGATTTTCCTCAGGATTGAGAATATAGAAAAAAGTGGTACTTTTTTTTTTACAGATAAAGGAAATAAGTAACTTTTTTAAAAACAAGTCAAAGCCTATTTTTACAAGTAAGTAAGTGACTCAAGTTAACTTTTAAAATATTTTATTAATTTAAAAATTTTTAATAGATCATACATACAGAAGGTTCCACTTTTATTAGTTTTATATGAGGCTGCACCAAGGTTTGGGTGGGGCCCCAGTATTTAGCCAAATATATGCTTTTCAGCTTTTTCTTGGGCCTCAGTATTGTGGAGGCTGAGTAACCAAATACCTACCTCGATGTCATTTATTATTCTACCTCAGGGAGGTTTCTGAAATTGATGTACATAAAGTAAAAACTGAGATGAGATGGAAATTCAGAGGCAATTTTACTATCTTGAAAGCCAATTTTGTTGTTCTAATGCTATATTTCTGTATTCAGCATTTAATAACACATTTCTCTCAAGTGAGTGTATTAAGAATAAAAAATATAAGTAAGAGTAACACTCAGAAATCTGTTTATCGACTTTACGGGATTGCTCCATTGAGAGTGCACTATTACCACTGACCAAATCTCCAAGTCCGGGAGTTGAAGAAAATGTGAAGTCTTCATTCTTCAACCCTTCATGCTATCAGGGAAGAAGGGAAAATTAATAGTACAGTGACAATAGCACCATTAGCAGGACCAGAGCTGGCCAAAAAAGTCTCTTGCTCCTACACTAACTTCAGTTGGAAGAATGGAACTATTTGGTGTTAAAAACATCTGCTATAATTTCCCTTAGCAGTTGACAGTGCTGAAAAAAAATTACTCTCTCTGCACTATAATGTCAAACTTGTAAAACATGACTAATAAATTACAATAATAAAATTGTAATTTTAATAAAAAATTAAAATATATTTTCATATATTTCTATCCCAGAAGGTCATTTTGTGATGGTGATATTTGGCTTCAGCCTTGAGCGTACCCGCCTATTGATTTTCAACATTCAGCCATTCAGCATTAGGCCAAAATGTGTGTCAGTACATCCCTAGTTTCTTGGGTACTCTTCTAGTACTTTTTTTAATGCAAATACAAGCAAATTCTAGTATATTCTTATTTTTTCCCTTTCTAACATACACACCACTCTACACCTTAATATACTAGCTTTAAAATACAAGCCAGAATCTTAAATTTCCATGACAAAGGCAAATGCTAACTAAAAGAAAGCCATTGTAGAATATTCATATCAGGCATAGTAGAATTCAATGTGAAAAGCCTTAGAAGGGCAAAAAAAGATATTTTATATTGGCAAAAGGCATAATTAACCAATAAGAAAATAGTCATAAATTTGTATGCTTCTCTAACAACATGGCTTCAAAATATTTTAAGTAAAAGTTGACAAAGTTACAAGGAATAATAGACAAATCCACAATCCTACCATGAGACTCTCACATCCCTCTCTCAGAAAACACAGATGAAGTAAACAAAATATTAATAAGAATATAGAAAATTTTGATGACCCAGTTACCAAACGTGCTATAATAGATATGTATGGAGAAAGCATTTTAACCAACAAAGACAGAATGCACATTATTTTCAAACACACTTGGAGCATTTCCCTAAATTGCCCACATATTCACAAAGAAAATATCAACAAATCCCAAAGATTTATTTTACGTAGTCACATTTACTAACCACAATGCAAAACAATTAGAAATCAGTAACAAAAATATACTCCAAAAATCCACATCTATAAATTTAAAAAAAAGAACACTTCTAAATAAGTATTAGCTGAAAAAGGAAATCAAAATGAAAAGTTCAATGATTCAGAACAGAAAAAACTAAAGGCTCTAAACATAAAAAGTAACATATAAAATAAATGAACTAAGCTTTCAATTCAAGATGCAAATACGTGCCAAAAGTAACAAGAAATTAATGAAACAAGACTAAAAGTTAAAGTTAATAATTAAAATAAACTAAAAGAGAGAAATAAGAACAAAAATGAGAAGTGACTACAGATACAAGGAAAAATTTAAATTATAAGAGAATACTACATTTACTTTTATACTGATAATTTTGAAAATCTAAATGGAAAGTTCCTATAATTTTGTAGGAAAATATAAATTTCTAAAACTGGCTCAAGAAGATACAGAAAACCTAAGTAATAGAAATTGAAATGATAGTCTCCCTCCTCCCTCCCACCAATGGCACCAGGCCCAGGCAATTTTGTAGGTTGTTTCTACCAGACCTCTACAGAACAGGTAGTTCTTTTCTTATACAACTGTTTTACAGCATAGATAAATGTAGGAAGCCATGTAGCTCACTTTATGAGGCATAACCCTGATAAAAACAGCCCTCAAAGAAACAATAAGTGAATATCCTATATGGATGTAAATGTAAAAATATTAATAAATTAAATCATATAAAATATTAAAAAATGAGATTAGTATCTCTTAAAAATTGGACAAGTAGGGTTTGTCTCAGGAATGCTAATAGGGTTCAGCATTAGATAAGATTTGATCCAATGTAACTCATTTCAGAAGAGATCAAAGAGGAACTCATATAAACATCTCAAGAGAAACCAAAAAAGCTTTTGATTAAATTCAATACCCATTTATGAACTAAACTCTTATAAAAGTAGGAAACACTCTTCACTTGATAAAGGTTATCTTCCAAAACCCAACAGTAAACACCATACTTAATTCTGAAACTGGGCCGAGGTTAGGGCAAGGCAAGTGAGGCATTCACCTCAGGCACAGAATTTACGGGGGCACCAAAAACCTCAGTAACCAAGATAAATAATATTTTAATACAATATTTAAAAAAATCAATATTAATACAAAGAAAATCCATGATGGTTTTAAAATATCAAAACTTTAAAAAAGACCAGGGCAGTGGTAAGCCATCTTGCAGCCTAAGGCAAAAAGAGAACTGTGTGCCCCTATATAAATGCTTTTATGTGTTGGGTTTTTTTAATGCTAGTTTTTTTCCAGAATGTTAAAGTAGTTGGAAAAAATATTGAAAATTGAAAAGTAGGTGTATTAAAACTCACAATATTATTTTCAGTTTAAATATTTTTTTAATTGAGATAAAATTGACATATAACATTATATTAGTTTCAGGTGTACAACATAATGATCAGATATTTGTACATTTTGTGAAATGATCACCACAAAAAGTCTAGTTAAGATCTATCACCACACATAGTTACAATTTTTTTTCTTGTGATGAGAACTTTTAAGATCTACTCTCTTAGCAACTTTCAAATATATAATACAGGATTAACTATATTCCCTATGCTGCACATCACTTCCCCAGGACTTATTTAATTTACAACTGAAAGTCTTTACTTCTTGACCATCTTTACTCATTTCACCCACTGGCCAACCTCCAATAAATATTTTATTTCCACCAAAAATAGAACTTCACAATTTTACTTTCCTAGCTTTTTTTTTTTTATAATTTTATTTATTTATTTTTCCCCCAAAGCCCCAGTAGATAGTTGTATGTCATAGCTGCACATCCTTCTAGTTGCTGCATGTGGGACACGGCCTCAGCATGGCCGGAGAAGCGGTGCGTCGGTGCGCGCCCGGGATCCGAACCTGGGCAGTCAGCAGCAGAGCGCATGCACTTAACCACTAAGCCACAGGGCCGGCCCTACTTTCCTAGCTTTAATGGAAGCAAATTCATCAATAACATTTTCAAACTTTACTCTTTTGCTTCTCTCATTTTCAATTGAGAGATTGCTATTTCTAACAATTTTTCTTGGCCAAGTGACAATCTTAAATAACCACTATTAGAATAAAAAATAGGATGCAGAATTTCTAAATTACTAGAAGAAGGAAAAATGTCCAAGGAAAAATTGAATCATTTCAGTAAATTCAGTAAAGGAAGAAAAAAGAGAATACCAAAAAAGGCATGAAATAAGATGACAAGAATCTGATTGAACATATTAAGTACATAATAACTTTAAAACAGCTAATTTCTTGATTAACAAAGATAATCAGATTGTGTAAAAAAGACATCCTGTATGTACTGTTTGCGAGAAATATGATTATAACTAAAAGACCCTAAAACATTGTCAATTGATTAACAAAGAATATTAATAAATGTAAATAAAAAAGAGAGTAAGGTGGCAATATTAACATTAGAAAAAGTAGCACTCAAAGGAAAATGCATTAAATGGGATAAAGGTATAAAATCTAAAAGGAAACTACAATGGCATTTAGCTTTTGTTCAGCTAACATAGAAATGAAACATAATGCAAAAACTTTTTAAAAAGGAGCAAAGGAGAATCGGACACAAATCACAATTATAGTGAGAGACTGACACACATCTTTTAGAATTTGATGGATCAAGTAAACTGAAAATTTTTAAAATACAGAGCTATTAAATAATACCATTAAGAAGCTTTATTTAACTAATATATTTAAACTCTACAGAGGATATACATTCTACTCAAATGTCCATGAAACATTTACAATAAATAGTCACCCAAAAGAAGTTCAATAAATTCTCAAACCAAACAGGCCACATTCTCTTATCACAATATTATAAAACGAGAAATTTGCAATAAAATATTAACGAGGACACGAGATAGGGAATTCAGCAATACTGTACGCTTCTAAATAACTCTTGGGTTAGAGAAAAAAATCAACACTAAAATCACAAACTCTTCCCCACATATTTGGGTACCATGTACTGAGCACTATTCTGGGTGCTGGGAATACAGCAGTGGACAAATGAGAGCTGCTCGGGAGTTTTTATAGTCTTACAGTGAAAGCAAACAATAAGCAAATAAACCAATAAATATTTGTATGTCAAAGGTAAATGGGGAAAATTCAAGGAAGAAAAATAAAACACGGTATGAGTAGACAGGGATGATGGTCAAGGAAGGCCTCTCTGAGGAGTCAACATCTGAGCAGGGACCCAACAACGTAGGCGCAAGCCATGCAAATACGTGGGGGAGGGCACTTGCAGAGAAGTAAGCAGCTAGTGAACACCGTCAGTGGGGAACAGGTTGGACCAGTGTGCCTGGAGTGAGTGAACAAGGGGAGAATGGCTGGAAAGGAGACAAAGGGCAGGTCACAGCCCCTTGTAGGAACTCAGCTTTTATTCTAAATGGAGCAGGAATCTATTGATGAATTTTGAGGTGTGAGGAGTAACATGATATGATATGTATTTTTAAAGAATTCCATTGGTATGAAAAACAAACTTGAAGCTGAAGGCAGCAGGGGAAGCAGAGAGACCAGTTAGGACGGGATGGTAGTAGTCTGGGCTGGGATTGACAATGGTCTGCACTATTGCACCAGTGGTGGAGGTGGTGAGAGTGGTTGGATTCAGGGTGCATTTGGAAGGTAGAGGTGACATGGATTGGGTTAACTGGTGAGAAAGAGAAGAATTAGGAGCCCTATGTTTGTGGCCTAAGTAACTGGGTCAATGGTGATACCATTTACTGAAAAAAAAAAGAGAGAGACACAGTAAATTAAAAGAGAGTGATGTTTTAATTTAGATCACTTTGGAATGTTCAATACCTCAGTATGAGCCTCTTCATTAATACCTTATTGATGACCATGAAAAACCATGGGATGTACCTCAGATATCACCCAAGAAGGAAGAGCTAATAGAGTGGGTTTGATAAATAAATAAATAAGAAAAATAAATCCTTTACCTAGAGAGCAAGGACTGAGCCCTGAGTCGCTTCAACTGTTAGAGGGCAGGAGGATGAACAGGAGTCAGTAAAGAAGTTGCCAAGGAGTAGGAAAATTAGGAAAAATGATATCTTGGAAGCCAATAAAGGAAAGTTTCAGGATTGACAGGAGTGATCAAATTCTGCTTCATCATATAAGGTGAGGACTAAAAATAAATGACCCCAGGATTTGGCAAGATGAAAGTCACTAGTGATTTTGATAACGGTAGTTTCAATATAGTGGAGAGCTAAAAAGCCTGACTAAAATAAAGAAAGAATGGAAGGTGAGGAATTGGAAACAATAAATATGGACAACCCTTTTGAGGAGTATTGCTATAAATGGGAACAGAAAAATGGTGAGGTCACTGAGATTATAAAGCCAAGAACTTTTTTAAGATAGGCGATATTACAGCATGTTTATGTTGATGTGTTATGTTAGATGGGAATGTAGATGGGACAAAAATTGACAAAGTTATTTAAAGACAGTAATAAGGAGATTATAATATATCAAATTCTATGGGATTGGGATAAAGCAGAACTCAAAAGAAAATATTTTAGTATTTAAATAGTGTTATTATTAAATATAAACAAGAGACAATGAAATGAATTAAGTATTGAACACAAAAAGCTAAAAAAAGAACAAAAAATAAACTAAAGGAAAGGAGCAAAGAATTACTAAAGATAAATTCAGAAGTTAATTATTAAAAAAGAAACAATAGATGCAATTCAAGAGCTCGTTCTTTGAAAAGACCAATAAAATAGACAAGCATTTGCTAAATTTCCCAATAAAATTGAGAGACTATACCATATCAGGAATTAAAAAGGGATATAAACACAGATGTAAAGGAAATTTTAAAAATCATAGGCAAATAATAACAAATATACATATCATTTACTATATGCTAGGGACTGTTCTAAGTACTTTATATAACTTGTTTAAATCTCCCAACCACCTTATGAGATAAGTAGTTTATTAGCCCAGTATTACAGATAAAGAAATTGAGGCAGGGAGAGGTTAAGTAATTAGCCCGAGATCACCTACCTCGTAGGCGAGAAGGCCGGGATTCAAACCTGGCAGCTCGGCTCCAGAGTCTGTGCTCTCTGCACCACAGTGTACGACCTTCTGCAAGAGAGTCAGAGGCCTTGTGCCAACAAATATGAAAATGTAAATTTCTCAGAAAAACAAAATACTGATATTAATTAAAGAAGAGGTAGAAAATCCGAAAAGACCGATAACCATGGAAGAAATTGAAAAGTTAGTCAAAGATATAATGCTTCTAAAGGCCCTGGGCTCGGACGGCTTTATAGGTAATTCCTCTGTGATTAAAATGTTTCAGAGCCTTGATATTAAGAGCAATCTTTTGCATTCACTTTATGAAGCTAACATAACCCTAACACCAAGCCTGAGAAGTAGCAGATACACACACACACTCACACAATTATAGCTCATTGTCACCTATGAATAGAAATAACTAAGACATACATGGTGTTTACTATGTGCCAGGCTACTCTAAGCTACATATATTAACTCATCTAATCTTCACAACAACCCTATTATTGTCATTTTATAAAAGAGGAAACACACACAGAGAGGTTAAGTGACTTGGCCAAAGTAGTAACGTCAGTTAGTGGCAGGTAGTTAACAGTAAAGCTGGATTATGAACCCAGTCAAACAGAGTTGATGCAACATTAGGAAATCTACTAATTCTATTCATTACAAAAAAAGAATAAAGGAGGGCCAGCCCCGTGGCTTAGCGGTTAAGTGCGTGCGCTCCGCCACTAGCAGGCCGGGTTCGGATCCTGGGCGTGCACCGACACACGTTTCCCCGCCATGCAGGCCGTGTCCCACATACAGCAACTAGAAGGATGTGCAACTATGACATACAACTATCTACTGGGGCTTTGGGGGGGAAAAAAAAAGGAGGATTGGCAATAGATGTTAGCTCAGAGCCGGTCTTCCTCAGCAAAAAGAGGAGGATTAGCATGGACGTTAGCTCAGGGCTGATCTCCCCACAAAAAAATAAATAAACGAAAAGAATAAAGGAGAAAAACTATGTCATCATTTCCATAGATGCTGAAAAGGCACTTGGTAAAGTTCAAAGTTTCTAATTAACAAACAGATGCAAAAAAATCATGGTGAATTAGAAATAGAAGAGAACTTTCTTAGTATGTTAGAGAATACATCATAAAGCAAAAGTAGTGGTAAAACACTAGATGTCTTTCCATTAAAATTAGGAACATTAATAATAAATACTTTTAAATAAAATGGCAAGGTATACATTTACTGAGGGATAGAAAGAACTTTACACGTTTGTGTACAAAGGAATACCTGTATTTGTAAACATTTCACACATATGACCTACCTATGTTTTGAAAATGAACAACTAGAATCTTGGGTTATTAGTCTCTTTATTTTGTGAGGCTTCAGTTTTGATGATGATATAGCTGTTACTTCTTTTTGGATGTTTTTGATATTTCTTAAAGCCTTTTGTCTATTCAGATAAAGGAAGCAAGCAATGGAAAGGTAATCTTCCAAATTAATATTTTTAGGATTCCATGGTTCAATCCTCATACTAACCAACTCACAACTACCTCCACCCTCTCCCTCAGCCCCAGCTACTAACTCAGACATCAGTGGTTGGTGGGATGATTAGGGTTTCCAGATAGAGCAAATAAAAGTATACAATGGATGCCCAATTAGATTTGTATTTCAGATAAGCAACGAATTTTTTTTAGTATGTCTCATGCAGTATTGGGGATACACTTATAATAAAAAAGTATTCAGTATCAGAAATTCCAATTTAACTGGGCATCCTGTATTTTATTTCATAGACCTAAGGCTGCTTCCAGGTTTTAATTTTGTACTATGTCTTTTTGAAGCCATGGCTAGCCACAAGGTTGAATACTTTTCAATGCCAAGTTTTCCTATCTTAACGCAAATTTCATCTATAAATTCCATTTACACAGCAAATCTAAGATACCTGGTTTTCAGCTCTCTTGCAAATAGATCTAAGTCCTTAAATATGGATATGAGTATAATTAAATTTTATTTTATTCCTGTTAATCAACCAATAAATAGACAAATCTATTAAGTGTCTAGCTGGAACAAGTAGACAAATGGGTGTTTTCTAGAGGCATTAACAAGAAAGACAGAACTGCA